TCCCCTGCAGGATTTGCTCAGCGATTTAGTTGGCTAAGCAGAGGCGGCGGCACGAGAGCAATCTTCCTGTTACCTGGCTTGCAGAAACAGCAGCTCCAGGAGCAACCCAGAGGTCAGTTAATGACAAAGGACACTCACAAAGACCTACATTCCTCAGGGCTCAATTATTAAGCTCCAAGGAAATCAAACTCCAGGAGGTTCTCCTGATGTTCAGCAATCTCGTTTATTATTTTCCTGCAAAGATCTGCCTCTCCCCCCGAGCTAATGTCCATGGTGTCACCTGAACCTAATTTACCTTCTACGCAGCGCACCGTCCCATGGCTTGAGATGGACTTCTCTGTTCCTCCCGCCAGTCCATTTTTACGCCTTCACAATGACAGCTCACAAGTTGCATGGTGGCCTTCACAAGCCTGTCTCCTCCCCTCCGCTGGACTCTTCCCACACCAAGTACTCAATCTGCTCTGAATTATTGTTTAGAAAAAGTGTTCCTCATTTTGTGAACCTTCCCCTTACAGATCAAAATTGAGAGAGAAGGGGCCGGATCTTATATTTCCTTTGCATTGTTCCTGGCATCTCAGATGGTGTCCCTGCGTGGAGACACCCGTGTTAGATATACTGACAGAACTCGTAGTTTTATGGCTGCAGTTAGATGACCCAGCACACCCCCAAACCCTGAGCAAAAATTGCACCCACCCCCTTCTGATGTTCCTGGCATCCTATAACTTGCCCAAAGCCTGATTTATTGCTCCTGCTGTAAAGTGTATCTGCTCTAAGCCTCACTTAAAAGCTACCACTTGGCAGAAGATCAAGTTAGAAGTGCAGGATAGGATAGCAGGTGATGTTGGGGGTAGGCAGGGATGGGGAGGGTGGGGTGGAGCAAATAATTGAAGCTCGGAGAGCTACCGGCTCAATATTTAACCTAACTGGTAATTTGCTGTGACAATTATGCCGCGAACAGAACACTACTACTATGCAAGAATGTCGCTCTCTAATTAAGAGGGCTCTGCTTTTCTAGTCACCCGCACTTTAATAACATACACAAAATGAGACTCGGCTCCAGGAGCTAAAGGCTCCATTAGGAGGCATGTGCAGCGCACGGCTGTGGTGTGCACATCGCCAGTGAGCGATACCGCACGGTTAAGCCTGCTAACACCTTCAATTCGCCCTCCGATGGAGACGGGAGAGCGGCTGTGCAGGCCCTCGCGCCACGAGCCCCGTTTGATTGACAGGCGTCTTCCCGGAAAGCCTGCGCGTGCCTCCACTGCAAATGGACACGCTTTCCCACAGACCTCTTTCAACCAGGAAGGCTCAGTGTGGTTTGATCCTTGAAGAGTAACTTTAATAAGGGTTTTCTCACAAATAAAAGGCCGCGGGAACGAATCCTCCTCTTTAAGATGGAGGGTGAGACCAGAAGCAGGGGCCGGGTGCACTGCGCGCACATGCCCTGTTAGCCAAACCTGGTTGAGACAAAAGAATTATTCTTAACATCATGGTTATACAGGAGAATGCTACCATCTTCTAAATGGACTGCTAGAGTCCTGAAACGTGGCTAAGCAAGCCACCCCCCCCCTTTAATTAGTGGCTCCTTTGTGGAGGGTTTGCTGCATGGAGGGAGCCCAGTAGAAGAGGGATAGCTCATCTGCAGGGACGCACCTTGTAAAGCGATTCAGATTTTAAATAAATAGCGGAGATGGCGCTGGCGGTGGGAGTTAGGGTGTTTTGGAAGCAGAAACAAACGCTTCTGCAGGAGACAAACCCAAGCGCTGAAGAGATCAGGTTTCCTAGGCAAACCTATAAGCCTCTAAAATTTTAGGCCAGTAGAAATGACCTCTGTACCATGGCTCACTGAAGATATAAATAAACCTCAACATGAACAGCAGTGTCAACGGTGAGAGGAGTCCAATTGGGGCTTATTTTTAAAAAGTCTCGGTTGTTCTGGCTCCATCTCGGGGCAGGGTATTCATGAACACAAAGCTCTGCTCCCTGCAGCGAGCTCTTCTGCCTTTGCAGGCGCCAGCCCTTGGTTACCTAACGGTTGAAAGGAAGCTATACCACACACAAGTTAAATATAGGCTGGGTTATCTGCATTTTACAAGCACCAAGCCCGTTATCTGAGGAAGCTGTCATTTTTAATGACAGCACAAACTTCCAATTACCAACAAAGTAATACACCAGGGAGCACGTACAGTTTTATAAGAATGGCTCACCATTATTAAAAGTTTACATGATCACTTTTGAATTGGATATATTTCAAATGAGGCGGGGGGGGGGCATTAAGTTTTTCACCCAGTCTATTCACGGCAAGAAAAATAGATACTGTTTTCCTGAAAATTGTACATTCTAAGCTTTAGCAACAGCTTAGAAGGGGTGCAGGGCGACAGCCCTGAAGAGCTCAGCAAAGATGAAAGGCTGAGGTGGCTGGGTGGTTTGGTCAAAGTTTCAGGTACAGCTACGTGTTCCCTGCCAAGCCACAAGCACTCACAACTGCCCCAGTATGAAGCAGGGATCTGAGCTGAATGTGGTGGTGGATGCCTGTGATTCCAACTACTGAGGCTGAGGCAGGAGTATCACAAGTTTGAGGCTAGTCTGGGAAACGTAGCAAGATCTTGTCTCAAAATGCAAAAAGTAAGCGGGGCGTGGTGGTGTATGCCACCAGAACTCTGGGAGGCTGGGGCAAGAGCAGAAATTCAAGCCCAGCTTGGGCAACTTAGCAAAATTAGTGAGACCCTGTCTCAAAAAATAGTGTTGGGGATGTAGTTCAGTGCAGAGGATTTGGATTCAATCCCCAGTACCATAAATAAGTAAATAAATAAATAATAAGAGGGGCCGAGGATACAGCTATTCACAAAGGGAACCCAACTTCCTTTGGAGCCTTCTGTCCCCTTCCATGGCGTCCACACAGCTTCCTGTGATAAATGCAGAGTGAGTGACTACGGCCAGGTGTGGCGTGTTCTTCCACACACACCCCTTGACCTAAATGAAGGCTACAATTTGTGCCCCAAGTCACCCAATTTTTTTGTGAAGTCTTTGATGATACTGCAGTCTTTAGTGATCTCTCCATCTACTGAATTTTAATTTCACTATGATAGGACTACTTAGACCCATGCCTTACTTCAAACAGACCACAGTTCTTGGGAACAAAGTATCTCGATTTAACCACGTGGCTCAGTGATGGAGCATGTGCTTAGCACGTGCAAGGCCCTGGATCTGATCCTCAGCACCAAACCAAACCAACCCCCCCAGTCACCAAGAATGAGGTTAGAACAGGTGGATAACAACTACTTGCTTTTCTTAATGACTAATCAAAACTGCTAGCACAGGGCATAATTAAAAGATTTAAGGACTATCAAGTAATAGCTTTAGAAAAATAATCAGGTTGATTTAGAAAGCAAATCAAATGTGTTCCTGGGAGGCTATTTCTGCCACACTGGCAGAAAACAAGGGTCCTGAGGTCTCTTTGAGGCCGTGTCCCACATTCTCAAGGCAGGTGGGGTACTGTGGGTGGCTCCAGAGTTTCCCTTTCCCGTCCTCCCTCCATTAACCTAAGGGTCTGCTCAAATTACCTGCCAGCCCTGATGGTACAGAGGGTTAGAGGAGTCATCACCGAACTCAGGAAATGGAAAAACAATCAGGGAACCGAGCAGAACAAGAGGTAGAGGCATATATTTTCACAGTAGTGTAAAGCAGAAGTGCTTGTGCCCACCAGAACCTGAGCTTATGATAACAAGTTTTAAAAAGGCAAAAGCATCTGGCAAGTGATTGGTTCCCATAAATTTACACATCCATATAGCCAAATACCATTTAAAATTATGCAGATCTGTTATTGAAATAGAAAAGATGTCCAATATATAGCGCTAGAAAGTGTTACAGAATGGTATATATATGGCATTTTTTGTGTGTGTGGTGCTAAAGATCTTATGCCTGTTACTTAACTGTTCTACCACTGATATATAGCTATATATCTCTATTATATAGCTATATATATATAGCTATACAATCTCCCCATTTTGTATAACTGTTAAACTTATATAAATATATACACAGCAAAGAGTACACAAGCGATTATTGCTGATTGGTGAGATTATGGGCCATTTGGTTATTCTTATCTGCAGGTTATTTTTCTAAAATGAATGTGGACTATTTGCATAAGAAGTAATCACCATGCTGGGTGCAGTGGTCCACACCAATAACCCCAACTACTTGGAAGGGCAGAGGGAGAAATATTGCAAGTTCAAGGCCAGCCTGGACAACATGGCAAGGCCCTATCTCAAAATTAAAACCCTGTCCTCAAAAAAGGGATGGGTTGTAGTTCAATGCAAAGGTCCGAATCTCCAGTACAATGAATGAAGGAAGAAAGGAAGGAAGGAAGGAAGGAAGGAAGGAAGGAAGGAAGGAAGGAAGGTAGATATACTTCAGCACTGAGTAGAGGAAAAAAAAATCAAATCAATGGTCCAATTTTCTCCTTTCTTTGATAACTTTAACAATATTTAACATCACCTTAATAAAAAAATATGTATTTTTAACATCTAAACTCTATTCTTTTTGAGAAAACAATTATTCCCAGAGGTGACTATGAAAGTTGTAATTTTCTCTGTAAGACAAAAGAGCTACCAAACCATGTAACAAGGTGGAGGATAAAACCACACCAAACCTGATCTCTCTTTGAGGGGAAGAAGCAGTTTACTAGGGGAACAGTGGCCTAACAAGTGGAAAGGAGAGAAGGAGGCCGAACAACCTGTTTTTGCTTTCGATAAATACAACCTGGCAGGCATATAACCAAAGAAACATAAGTCAATATGAACCTTTACATGCTGGGCTGGCAAACTTCACTTTTAGACAGTTTATTAATTATGTAGTCAATAACCATGGGTTTCATTAGCATATTAAATACCACAATCAATATTATTTATACTTTTCAAATACAGGCCACTCAGGAAAAAAAAATGGGGGAGGGGGAAAGGCTTCTGACCCTGTAGTTCAAAAAAGTCAAAACAGCACACTAGAGATTAGCAAGGCTTTAATGGAAAGCATAAAACACTGAAAATATGGACAGAAATCAGATTATTACCTTTTTTTCCCCCCTGCCTCTTTCACAGTGAGACGGGAGGGAATTCAAGAACCATTTAAAATAAGGCAAATGATTAGATTGTTTTTTCCCTAATTGCTTAACGCTGGTGTCATGGTGTACATAAAATAAACATTGATCTCTTAGTGAAAGATAAGAAATAGAACATGAACAGCCTTTCGAGGTAAACTGTATCCAGGAGAATTCTACAAACTGTGCGCCAGAATCTACTTAGGCAACCCTCTGGGACCTAAATCTCTTAAAAGCATAACAGTGCAGCCAATTTCTGAGGCAGCTCCGCTGGTGATGCGATTTTTTAGTAGGGAAATCTGTTAAACATCCTCCCTCAGGGAGCCCCCTCCTCCCTCCCACTCCCCCCGGAGTTCTGATCACACCCATGTAGATGTGCTGGTTCTGTCACGCTACTGCTGTGAATGCGTGGGTCTGGCCTAGCGTTCTCTGGACGTGCCCGGCTGTAGCTGCTGGTCAGTCCTCACTGGGCAGACACAGGCACACCGGGGAGAGGCGGGAATGCAGGGAGCAGCAGATATAAAAGACCAGTTACCAGACTGAAAGCTAGATTACCATTTCCAACCCACAATTTGTCAATCCAAAACACTGTTGAAGACTATAATTTTCTAGTCAATGCTTTATAAGGTCAGATAGGAAAGAGCTTCCATAAAAATTGTGGTCTAGCCAGAGAATCAAGTGCAACCCAATTCCCATCTCGAGGCTTAGGGAAGGGTAAGGAGGGAGGCGTCTCGACCATCAGTGGTCCACAGAGGGACTCCTGTCTCTTCTCGACCATGGGAGCCACCCTGTCTAGGGCTGGCTGGTTCCCCCGCCCCTCTGCAAGGCAGACAGCCAAGGACCAAACAGACCAGGCACCATCGCTCTTGTTTCACAGAGCCCCAGTATGGTGCACTTGCACGAATTAAAAACCAGGGCCTGTAGCTGCAGGGGGGACTGCAACACTGCCTGGCTACCTCCAGAGATGTGCAGCACATGCCAAGCAGGGGTTGCAGCAACCGGATAGATAATTAATATGATTAGGAACACACAGAGTAAGCATGCTCGTGCTGACTGAAAAGCCCAGTAGCATAATTACTGTTTTCTTACTCGCTCACTGTCTGTATACATTTCAAAGCCTGGCTGCTGTTAGACTGCTGTGTAAACATCAATAAAATCCCAAAGTGCCAGATCATCAACATTCTTAGGCACAATGGCTTTTTCTTTTGTGTTTTCATTCTTTTAGAGATGCATTTCAAGGTTGCAAACATTAGGAAGCGTGATCTTCAGGCCTTGGACTAATCTGAGTCTGTAATGAGTTAACGTCTCTCCCAAGTGAACATTTATTATGAAGGCTAATTAATTGCTTTCCAGTTACGAGAACCCTTTGCACGGAGAAAGTGGGATTCACGAGCAAAGACTATACTGTTTATTAAGACAAAGCACAAAAACAAAGGGTTCACTCCTTCAAAATCCTATTTTAACATACCTTTAATCAAGAAGTAAAACATAAACGCAAGAAGTATGTACAGGTAGGAAAAATGTACATTCGCCAAACAAAATGCAACATTAACTGAAGTGAAAACTCGAGCAATGCTTTGTAGTTGCCTGCATGTCTCCAGGGGACAGCAAGTCAATGCTTATCAGCCATCCTCAGAAGAGACAATTTTGATTAATATCAGACCTATCTGACTCAGTCTATTAAATCTATTAAACCCTGAAGGAAGGATAGTCTTCAGATATAAAGATATGCCTTTGATTAATAATTCTACCCTATTGCCATTCCAAGCATTAACAACTACGCGGCACCTCTAGAAAGAGAGCGCCTTTGAATTCTAGGAAGACACCCTTCCTCGGTATGGGTCCCCACCACCACTTCCCAGCGCCCCCAGGAGGAGTCCAGTTGTAAAGGTGTCACCACTGGAGAAGCAAAGCTTTGGCGACATAATTTTTTCACTGTTTGAAGAGTTAGGGTCAATTACTTGTGACATAATTCCTGCTTGAAGATAATGAAATCTTACTAAAATTGACAGAAGCCTGAAGTCAGAGGGAGGGACTGGGGCTCTGCTACCTGCTGTGGACTCCCAGGGCTGATGGCTTACATCACCACTCTCTGAGCACCATCCTCTCCCTACCGACCGGCCCAAGGCGCTCACAGAGGGGAAACTGAGGTCCACCCAGAGGCTCTGTAATGGTGGCAGAGGTGGGACTGTAGCATGGGGTGGGAAGAAATCAGCTCCATTTCAGCTCTGCTTTCAAACGTCTGCCTAGTCAGCGCTGCAGTCCTCACATCCCTGCGTTTCTCCTGATGTTCATGATCAGCCTTCTGCCGTAGTCTCTGTAGTCCACAGGCTTCACGTCCATCACAGTGGCCTTAATTCGAGACTCATCCTTTGAAGAGAAGAGTGGTTTGTGAGTGATGGAAGCCCCTGTGTGGAGCAGTGGCAATAACCTTCTTTGCTTCTGTGGGTTCAAGGAGCCCAGCAGGAGCAAACGGACACACTGGATTCAGAGTTCAGTAATTCCCACCAAAAAAAAAAAAAAAAAAAAACCCAACAAACACTAGGAGCAAGAGCGTAGCTCACAACTTCCACAGCTAGGTCAGCAGCCAGATGCCCTCTGAGCACGGGCTCTTTCCCCCAAATGAGTGAAGCTTGCAGCTGGCAAGGATGCTGGCAAAATTCCCCCTCCTATTTGTATATTTAGCTCCAAGGGTGAAACCGAGCCTCGAGAGGCAGAATGTGGTGACACCCAGAGGCTGCAGTCTGGCCAGAGGCTGTCACACTTCTGCATGCTCAGTAATTACTAGATACACTAAGGTTTACGAGTAAAGGTGAGATAAAGCCTGAAAGGTGGACTGCCTGGATCTGAATCTCAGCCCTGCACTTGCCAGCGAACGACGTCTGGCTAGAGACCCATTCCCTGAATGCCTGTGTCTTTTCATTGGTAAATGGGGCTAACATTTGTTCTAACTTTGAAGGTACTGTAAGGATCAAGGGAGACAAAACAGGTAAAGGATGTAGCTGGACAGCACATGACAGTGCTCAGTAAATCGTTATTATGCTACATAGCATATGATATTATGGCCAATTTAAGGAATTTTCTAGGTAATTTTAATAACAAATGGCCTTTGTTTCATACACTCATTTTTTTTTAGAACCGAAATTTTTGGGAGATGGCAGTGCACTACGCTCACTATTATTTTGTCAGAATACAGACAAAAAACCTCCAGGTTTTAACAGAAAAGGACACAGAACATTTCCACCCTAGATGTTTAGACAAAACACTGAATTTACGTCATCTGAAAATGGAGTTGGTGATTGTACTTCCGCAGATTTCATAAGTAATGAGCACAAGGTGCTCAGCCCCGGCTCTGACACTCGGCAGGTGTCTCCCCGACATGACGCTGGAATGCTGCTGTGTGGGGGTTTCCATCCCGAGCCTTTGGTCCGGGCTCTTTACTCACATTGTAGGTCTCCAGTTTGACCCTGATTTTGAATGTGAAGGATCGAAAGTTGGCATTCTGGAAAACTTCTTCAAATGCCTGCTCGTTCTACAAAAACAAATAAAAAACTTCACACATGGAAACTACCAGGCTACTTAAAAATACCTGTAAGACTTTTGAAAAGATATTGAGAAAATGATCACCCCCAGTGGTCTGACATTACTTAGGAATGACTAATTTACAGGTGATGCTCACCACATAAAACTACTTAAGAAGAACTACATTAAAAGTTAAAATAGAAGTTTTCCCTCAGCGTCCACAGGGGCTTGGATCCAGGACTCCCGCTACTGCCAGAGGACACAAAAATCCAAGGATGCTCAAACTCCTTACATAAAGTACCATAGTATTTGCCCACAAGTGCACGTATATTCCTCTATACTTTAAATCATCTCTAGATTACTTATCAAACCTAACACAGTAAGAAATGTATGAAAATGGTTTGTTACACTGTAACATTAGGCAATAACAAGAAACAAAATTGGTACATGTTCAGCGAGACACAATTTTCCCCACAAAATATTTTAAGTTCACAGTTGTTTGAGTTTGCAGATGCAGAAAGCTGACTGTAATCAAATTTACAGAAGCAGAATGGTGGCTGCCAGGGCCTGGGGGAAGGGAGGAATGGGGAGCTGTTTATTTATGCAGAGTTCCAATTTGGGGAGATGGATCTTGGCAATAATTGCACAACAACGTGAGTGTAATTAATGCCATTTAATTGTATGTTTCAAAATGGTTGCAAAAACTGGGTGTGTTATCACATGCCTGTCCATGTCTACAATCACAGTATTCTGGAAGGCTGAGACAAGAGGAACACAAGTTGGAACCCAGCCTGGGCAACCTAGTGACACCTTATCTCAAAATAAAAAAATATAAAAGAGCTGGAGGTATAGCTCAGTGCATAGACCCTAGGTTCAATCCCCAGTACAGAACAGGAAAAAAAGAAAAGAAAAAAAAATACATTTATAAATTTTATGTTTACTACATACAAAAATATAAAAATCACTCTTAATAAACATTTCTAAGACTTCAATTGTGATGGAACAGATATGAGGCCTAGCATCTTGAGGAATTAAGAATCAGGTGGGAAAATACTCAAAAAAATTTTAAGTTGTTATATATTTCTTTCTTTCTTTGTCTTTTTGAGACAGGGTCTCGCTATGCAGTTCAGGCTGGTCTTGAACTCACTTTGTAGCCCAGGCTGGTCTCGAACTTGCATCAATCCAGGCATGCACCACCATGCCCCGCTGTCAAATATTTCATTATTTCAGCCTCTCTGTTTATAGTTGCTGGTGTGGTGAGCAATAGAAAAGACAGGTGAAGAGTACAAAAGTCAAGGATGGTCTAAGAACACAGTCCTCTCTCTCCTCACGCCCTCAAATGTTACTTGTATCTTGATGTAAGTTAAGGAAAAAAAAAAAAAGCTCAGCTGGTTTTGCTGACATGCCTACATTCCAAGGTACTTGAAAGGCTAAGGCAGGACATTGACATCATTTAGGAATTTAATGTCACAAATTCAAGCCCAATCCAAGCAATTTAGTAAAACGACACCCCAAAATTTAAGAAAAGGAGCCCCTGGTGTAGTGGCGCAGTCCTGTAATCTTAGCACTCTGGAGACTGAGGCAGGAGGACTGCGACAAGTTCAAATCCAGCTTGGGCTACATAGTGAGTTGAGCGCCAGCCTGGACTAGAGTGAAATCCTGTCCAACAAAAAAAAAAAAAAAAAGAGAGAGAAAAGAGATGGTGCTGGTGATATAACTCAGTGTGAAAACCCTAGGTTCAATCTGCAGTACTGCTAAAAAAAAAAGTTTGTAGAGTCAGAAGGATTACAGAGTATGTTTTACATAAATATGTATAAAATAAAATAAATGTATAAAATAATAACTTTACACAAAGTAGTTCATATAAGCCACACAGAACATGAAATGGCTTTATCATACAAATCTCTTTTTTGTGTTATCTGACAAAGCTGTTTACTGGACTTTCAGTATACAAATAATTTAGAAAATCATACCCCTGTCATTATTGTTCTAGATTAGGGAAGGCCTGGACACATACCCCCTGAGCATCACGGTTCCCGCAGGAAGAGTTTCTGCATGCCCTCCCTCCCCAGCAGTATGAACAGTCAAATATAATAAGCTCATAAAAAGTCCTGAAAGGCTGCCTTGAGCCTTAAAATCTGATATGAAAATAGAGGACCAGGCAAAACAGATAAAAGATACTATCACACTTTAAAGTCAATTCCAGTTATTTCTGTGAAAGGACTTCTTTGGACTGCTTTCAGAGATCTCATGGACAATTTTAAAGAGAAGCAGGGACAGAACCAAACAGAAGAGGACAGAAATAACCAGAAAAACACATGGTAATTTTTTCATTTCTGTGGCCTTTACAAGTATTCTGACCAATGTGGAGGAAATGGGGGGTGGGGACAAAGATACGTATGTGCTTTCATTGGTCTTATTTGTAAGTTTTATTTGAGGAACTACCTTTCTTAAGTTCAGCATAATTAGTAATCTACTTTCTGTTTTAAATAAACCTAGTAAGTAAGAAAGTCACTTCCTAAGAACTGCATCTGAGGAAATTAGCAATCACTTTAAAAGTGCTTTTTTTTTTTTCTTTTTGAGACAGAGTCTTGCTGTGCAATTCAGGCTGGCCTTGAGCTCACTTTGTAGCTCAGGTTGGCCTTGAACTCAAAATGATCTTCCTGTCTCAGCCTCCCTAGTGCTGGGATTACAGGCGTGCACCACATCTGGCTACATGTACACTTAAACCAGGATATGACTCAACTTTTCGGGAAGGTGTTTATTATGTTAAAAAAAAAAGGCACTCATAAACCTTGTGTTACTTCAGAAGACACCTTCTAGTTTTGAGTGATCACAGGCACCCCAGCTCTGATGAGGTAACAGGAATGGGAGAAACAGGTGGTTTGCTTTATACCTATAATATGCATTATTTTAAAAGATTTTTTTTTTATACACCTTGTTTCATTACCTCACTGTTAAGTGCATCTAAAATGCACAGAATTGGATCAAAAAAAATTCAGGTGACCACTCAAATAACCATCAGACTGAGAAACAAGACACAACACTCCAAAGAAGCACACCAAAAATACTGAACAGCAAAAAAGGCTCATTGTTATGGCACGAGAACTAGCACAGCTATAACAAATTATGCGGCCAACCTTCTCTTTCAATTCTCCAAGATAAGCAGTGTTTTGTCCAAGGATAGCTTCAGCAGATTCCTGGAAACAAGTCACCCACTGATTCTCTTGAAAATCTGCGATATTTGCCTAAAAAACACAACTTTCTATTATTTCAGCAAAGAAATAATAAAAAAGGAAGACAGACTGAGGGGAATGGGAGGTTAACTTTTTCCACACATTAAAATTTCCAAGGGGAAAAATATTACCATTACATAAATATACAGTTTTCAATTTATGATGGTTTGACTCAATGATTTTTCACTTTATATGCAAAAGCGTATCTATTCAACCATCCTGTCTTCACTTCCATACCGTATTCTATAAATTATAATATACTCAACACTACTTCAATGTAAGTTTTGTGTTAGATTAGTTTGCTCAAACGTAGACTAATGTACATGCTCTAAGCACATCTGAGGTGGAGAGGCTAAGCTCTGATGTTCAGTAGTTCATTAAATGAATTTGTGGCTTAACAACAGTCTTAACTTACAATGCGTTTAACCCCATAGTAAGTCGAGGGACACCTGTACAACAGTCTTTGCAAAACTGTGGAAGATACAACAGAACAAGTTTCAAGGGTAGTCTGGATATGCCCTGATATGTAATTTCAGATCTCAATTAAAGACAGAGCCCAAGTAAAGTACAGATACAGAATCTGTGTACATAAGGCCCAGTTCCCCTCCAGATGCAATGGATTCTGGACTAAAGGTCAGTGTAAGCCTCCACCAGCAGGGCACGTCCTCTGCACTTTAAATTGTACATACATCCTCCAGCTGATAGGAGAAGCGGCATGAGATGGATCTAAGTCACCAGTGAAGTTCCTTGGCAATTTCAGAGCCAGTGCTAAAGCCCTTCAGCAACCAAACCTACTTAGCAATGGAAAGGGGTAATCAACCACCTCCAACTGGATGTATGGTATAAAATTAATTTGGAGAGGGTCAAAGAAACAAGTGGATCTCAAAGAATCTAGCTAGTGATGTAAGGCTCTGTAGAAATCATAGCAAAGTTTTTTTAAAAGTATCACTGTGACGATTTTACATACTGAATTTTCATATGCATGGGGACTTTAAATATAAGATGGAACGATGAAAAAGTAAGTTCACAATGGCATCACATACTGGGTCTCACATCTACTTTACTCTGTGCTATGCTTGTAAGAGGCACTGCGTGCGCCTCACGCTCTGTAGGCGAGAATAGTAACGATGCAGACACAGGGAAAATGTCAAATGAAACAAGTGTGCCGGGGCATCCACGACTTAACAGTTTAACAGAAAGGTTGATGGAATTAACTATCTAAAACAGTTTCCTTCATCTTAGTTCAGCGAAAAGTTTAGTTTACAAAAGTGAGACATGTAGAACTTTTCTGCTGAGTCACAACTTTAAGGGGCTGTTAGAATGTAGAAAGGACAGGTGGAATTCCTTCTTTTTTTAAGTCTAAAAAGATTTCTTTAAAATTTCTTATTATAAGTATTCACAGCACACACACACAAAAACTGCATAATGCAGGAGGATATAATGAAAACAAAAATCAGCCAGACATAACCCCACAATCTTGTGACATCTGTCCTCCCAGTGTTTTGTCTGTGTGCAGACCTCAAGACCATGGAGACACCACTTAAAATCTGCTATTTTCAACTAATAAATCTTGACTGCTTACTTAGATTATTTAATACTCCTTGTTAGTGATGGTTTGCAAACATGTTAACTATCAAAACTGCCAAATATGAATGATTGTTTCTGAGGTCTCCACAGCACCCCACTCTATATTTAATAAAGGAATTAACCAATAGAATATTAAGGATATTCAAGTTATTTCCAGCTGTTTAAAATAAACAACACTGTTAACAACTTTTAAGTAGCTGTAACATCTCTGATTATTTACTGAGATTGTTGCCAAATCAGCTAGAAAAATATGAGAGTGCCTATTTTTTTATACCTTTATCATTTAGTTACTTTATACCTTTCATTTTAAAGGTTTCTGAAAAAGAAAGAAGCAATCTTTACGATGCAAAAAAAGCCACAAGCCCACAGCAGCACAGTCACATTCCTCTGAAGTCAGCTCTACTAAGACTGGAGGAACAGACCATCCATAAGAAACATAACTAAATATAGGCAATGGCTGTATAAGTACAATTACTGCTCTCCAGAAATGCCATTTCAAATTAATTTATGTTCATAACATTTAACAGGTGAGTGCCACCAATACTGTAATTGTATGACATCCACTGAAGACTAAAATCATTTGGGGCATCTCAATTCAACTTTCTGGCATTAAAAAAAGCTTTTAGTAGCAGAAAACAGACTGCTATTCAGTTGACTGAAAGGCCCTTACTTGCTTATTTATAGAACAGTAACAAGCTCTTCAGCACCTACTTATCTGCAAACTGCCTATCATGAACCATCTTGGTTCTGCTGTTGCAACCATCATGCCTGGCGCATGGCAGGGATTCAATAAATTCCATGGTGGTTCTCATGTACCCATCGTACTTACAGACAAGATCATGCGGTATTTGAAATTGGGAAATTCACGGTCACACTTTTCGCAGCGGTATAATCCATTCTGCTGGTCAATCACTTTTTTATTGCAATCCTGAGTTGGGCAGGCCTGGTACATACAGTTCTCTTTGCGAAGATACACCACTGTTGCCACAGAGCTGAAATAGTCCGCCTTTAGAAGAAAACAATGACTTGAGACACAGGGTGCCACGCCCACATTCAGGACGGGATACAGGCAGCTCAGAGCTTGCGCTTCCTTCCAAGTGCTACGTACAGTACATGCATTCTAATTCTCAAGCTCACAAAATGATGACAGGCAATCATTCATTCCATAATTTCAGAAATCACATATGCTGTGTACGAAAGCCACCAAAGCAATAAACTAAGTTTTAAAGCATATAAGTCCTTATCAGTAAGTTATTTCTACATTAGATTCAATTAATTAAATAAAACAAATAGTTTATCTCTTTGCTTGAAGACTATACAAAAGAGAAAAAGACTTGTTCCTCCTGGTTCTCTGAACCTTCAAAGGCTACAGATTTAGGAAATGCAAAATGACGTAGACCACAAAAATCTAGTGTAGCTATGATCAACCATTCCTCCCACATTAAAAAAAAAAAACTAAGGACAGTGATTTCTAGGGTGTAGGTCCTCCTCTGTGTTTGTCTAGGTCAGGAGCCAGCAAGCTCTTCCTGTAAATAGTTACACAGTAAATATTTTAGGCCTGATGGGCCATTTGGTTACACAGTCTCTGTTGCAAATACTCAATCTTGCTGGCAAGAGCAATATACAGATGGAAGCATATGGCTGTGTTCCAATAAAACTTTATTTACAACAGGTGGGCAGCAAGGTGGATATGGTCTATGGCCTTGTTTGCCAACACGGGTCTGAGTCATCAAATTTAGCAGAATGCGGGGCTGGGGATTTAGCTCAGCGGCAAAAGCGCCTGCCTGGCAAGCGCAAGGTCGTGAGTTCGGTTCCCGGTACCGGAGAAAAACAAAAAAAAAAAAAAAAACAAAAAAAACACATTTAGCAGAATGCAAAAATACCTCTAAATAAGATCTGTGCCTTCAGAGTAAAGAAATTGCAGAGAAGTATATCTAGCAAGGACTAAGCCACATCTTGGGTTTTTTTGTGTGGCTGATACCTGTTTTTACTTTCAACCTTCACAGAGAAGTTCTCAGACAAATTATTTTTGGTTTGTGTTTAGTACTACCAGGGAGCAGTTCCCTCTGGGTGCACCTCAAATTCAGAGCTAGGTCACCAACTGCTAGGGCTTCCTGATGTCTCAGACCAAAAAAGGTAAAACAATGGCTGCTTAAAGAGCTTGGGTGAATAAATAGCTTAAAAGCCGACAGGGCTGGGGACATAGCTCAGTGAAAGAACACTTGCCTAGCATGTACAAGGTTCTGTATGGAAGCCCCGGCACCACAAAAAGCATTTTAAGCTGGGGGTGGTGCTTCACACCTGTAATCCAAGCACTTGGGAGGCAGAGGCAGGATTGCCAAGCGTTCAAGCTGGCAACTACTACGAACTACATAGCGAGACCTTGTCTCAAGAACCCAAAAACTAACAATAAAGTAAAAAAATACTAGAAAGCTCTAGAGAAGGGCAGAGGATACAGCTCAGTGACACAGTGCTTAGCTTGCCTAGCATGCATGAGGCCCTGGGTTCAGTCTTCAAAAAGATAAAGATAAAAAGAAAAGAAAAAAAAAGCTCTGGAGTAGCTGGGCACTAAGGTGCACTTCTGCAATCCCAGCTACTTAGGAGGCCAAGAAATTGCAAATTAAGAGGCCTGCATGAGCAATTTAGCAAGACTCTACTTCAAAATATAAAATGAGCTGGTAACACAGCTTAGAGGTGGTAGAGCGCTTGCCTAACATGTATGAGGCCCTGGGTTCAACCCCTTGTAACACACACCTATGCAGGGGGCTGGGGATTTAGCTCAGAGGCACGGCGCCTGCCTGGCAAGCGCAAGGTCGTGAGTTTGATCCCTGGTACCGGAAGAAAAACACAAAAAAAAACAAACAAACACACACCTATGCACACAAGAGACACACAGAGAAAGACAGAGAGACAGAGAGATAGCGAGAGGCACAGATACAGAGACCAGAGAAAGAAAGAAAAAGGTAAAGAGGGAAGGAGAAAAAAAAGAGGCCATATGCCTATAATCCTAGCATTCTGGAGGCTGAGGCAGAAAGACTGCAAATATGAGCCCAGCCAGGGCAATTTAGTGACTTAGCAAGTCCCTGTTTATGATCCTCTTCCCTCTGCCTCCCAGAGTGCTGGGATTAGAGGCGTGTGCCACCACACTGGGTTGAATGCCCATTGCTCATTACACAGGCTACCTTTTAAACTGGGTGCAAGCAAACTGAAACAGTGGCTGTTCCCATGACAGAACACAGATCTGTCCAACGCTTAACTCTCGCGGTGTCATATAATAGCACTGTAAGTTGCTACTGAGGACAGTGACAAATGGGGGGTGTACAGTAAAATGAGACCGGAGTACAATCTGAATTGCACATGATGACAAGGGAGCAGGGGTTGTTATTGGGGGGAGAAGAAAAGAGAAAGAAATGATTTAAATATTGAACTGCTGGCAGAACTCAGGTTAAACAAGATGGGGTGCAGTCACTAGACAAATACTGGAAGGGAAGCTCCGACTGAGGGCAAACAGCAGAGCCAGTGCTTGTCGGGCACAGCGGCAGGCACGGCCTAGGAGAGGTGGGAGCACTTGGCAACCACCTAATGCGGAGCCTGGCTAATGTGCTCTGCTCAGAAAATGTCTTTGGGATACACAAGCACTTCAGTCTGCAGGAACAAGCTGGAGAGAAACACAGACCTAAAACCCATCCACACTATCACAAAAGCTTGGTTGTTACACGTTCGTTGAAGAAATAGTTCTTCACATTTTTCTGCCTCGTGACATAAGCACATAAGCACTGTGCGCATTAGGACGCCTGGCTCCTTCGCTCTGCCAGTGACCTGCAGTCACGTAGCACGCTTTGGGCAGAGCCTCAGGTGAGACTCACAGCTCTGGGTAACATCGACCGCTGGTATCAAAAACAAGACTTCAAACTCATCCTCTCTTTGCAGGCTTTCCATGCTTTGGCAAAGGAGCGAGGGGCGTAAGATACCTTGTCGCCTTGGCCCAGGTTCTCTGACTTCACCTCGTATAAAGTTTTCCAGTTGGTGTTGCTCGCTCCTAGCCCCCCGCTCTTTAAATCGGAGATGGAAACACCATCTAAGGCTTGTCCTTCTGCGTCAAACCTGAAACACAAGTACCCGGCACTTTATGTACTTCTCACATGCGCTACTTGTTCCTGGAGACTACGTAGGAGCTCCCTGCCCCCTACTTTCACATCGGTCATGTCACGAGGGGGAAGTTAGTACTGTTTCTTCATTGTACTGTAGTTCAGTCTACTAAAGAACAAATGTCTCCTCTTTCATCTCATTTGCTTTGATGCCCCCCAGTGGTCAAGACAAACAGTGCCAAAGTACCATGGACCTTTGTCCTAAACTGGCCGTGCATGTTGGAAGTGGCCACAACCTCAAGGGAACTAGGAAAGTCGACAAAAAACAATACTGTGAGGGCTGCAGATGTAGCTCAGCAGCACAAGCGCCTGCTTGGCAAGCGCAAGGTCCTGAGTTAGATTCCTGGTACCAAAAAAAAAAAAAAAAAAAAATAGCATGGAGCCCTGGGAGAGTCCTCTGGGCAACTAATTCTACTTCAGTAACAGTTGCATTTTTATCATCACTGAAATGGAAAGGGACAGTTAACATATTGTAATAGATTAGGCAAAGACGTTCGCACGGTGGGAAACCTTTTAAGCTTGATCGGCTATTCTAAATGATTATATAACCTAAAGTCATCTATCAGAGGCACTATTTGCTTTCTCATTTACCACTTATTTATTTAGTGATACAGGAGTTTGAAGCTGGGGTCTTCACACTGAGCTTTTAAAAGTTTTCAGGCACAGTCTCACTAAATGACCAAGTTACACAGGCTGGACTTGAACTTGTGATCCTTCTGCTTCAGCCTCCCAGAGTGCTGAGATTATAGATGGGTTCCACCACTCCCAGCCTAGGTTTACCTCTTTAGTGAGGTATTACTTATGTCAACATTAAAGTTAAATTAATTTGCACTGAATTACTATTAAAAATGATACTTCCTGACTGCCTATCAGTTGATATGAAATAAAGCAAGCCAGAGGGTAGCGCAGGACCATACTTCTAGCAGAGAGCAGTCAGCCTGAGATTAAAAACACCAAACATGATCCAAAAGGTGGGTAAGTAAAAGCTAAGCACATACAGAACAGGCACCCTAAAAAAAGCCCTCTAACAGAATGGGTGTGCCCTAAGCTGTGAACAGCTGCCTGCTCATTCTGTCAGACAACCAGCTAAATTCTGTCACAGAGGCACAGCAAGGTCCACAAATCCCTTTCACCACTAGCTACACAAGTTTACGGTTTCAGGGCAGCTGTGGCGGAGCCACGTGTCAGCGGGAGATGGCTGCGCCCTGGCGAGAGGTGCAAAGGCTGCAGTGAGCCCTGGAGTGGTGGAGGATGCGGGAGGCGAGCATGCAGCTCCAGGTGGAAAATCATATACCAGATGGTACTATCAAGGAAAATGTAATCGGTATCAGTTTCATAACCAGAAAAAGGAACCAACTTCAGAAACAGAAGAGAGTCTACATGAACACGGATCACATACACTGAGGGCTTAATGCTGCTTTCTGTGGGCCAATAGCAAACAGTCTTTTCCGGAGCACCTTGCATATGACACAGGCTGGTACGGCTGCTAGCTTACCAATGGTGGTGACCCCATTTTTGTCAGCACATGTCTCTTACAAAAGTTTTGTAAGTTTATCTCTGAGCACAGGAAATTCAAACTGTAAAGCCTGTACCATGATACACTGGTTGAATTGTGGGTGGTCTGTACGCTGCTTTCTTGGCCACACCTGTGAATGGTGGCCTACCAGCCACGAATGAGCCAACTCTGCTACCAGAGAAACGGAACATCTTAATATACTGGATTAAATTTCTAAGTTCGTCTTTAGAAAAATGTTACTTCCCCTTCTACCTCAGACGGCGTCTGCAGCATACTCTGGGTCTAGACCACACGTGCCACAGTGAGCTGTCTGTTATCATTGAAAGCTCTAAAAGGTCTGCCATCACTGGTCTAGACGATATAAACGACTCATAAAGGCTCTTCAGTTACCTGAATCGGGCCTAGAAAGTCACCAATTTTTAACCAAATATGTATGCAAAAATAAAATGGTGAAAACAACCACAAAAACAAGTTTCAAAAACTTCAAGGAGACATTTACCAACAAAGACCACTCATAAGGAGTCAACAGAGCAAGGAGAGAGGGAGCCCTTCTTACAATAAAAATTCCCCTTTGTTAGAGTCAAGTCTAAAATCTAATCCTAGGTAGAAGGTGTGCTACATGAACTTCTCTTTGATCAGTGTCAAGTTATTTTGTTTGGGGCACAGCTATGTCTTTTTGTGTAGCCTGGGATCACAAATATTGACAAGTAAAATATGAACACCTCAATGCAGACATGCAATTAACCTGGGGTCATGCTCCAGAGCCTGAAAGTATATCAAGCAAGGACAGCAAACCAGAACCATGGTTATTTGTGATCAGACTATTAACAGGCCCTGCTTTACAATGCAGCGCAAGCTATTACAGTAGTTAAATAGATACAGGTGGGTCATACTTATGAGGATGCCTTAAGTCATGTGAATATCCAGCAGATGTTTGGTGAAATACTAGTGCTACTGGTTTACATTAGACTCAAAAACTCCCTGAGGAGTATGAAACACAGGCAAATTCTTGAGTCACTTAAATCTTAAGACATAGTTAGAAACTGACATATACTTCCCGATCCTGTGATTATAGCTATACAAATTATTAAGCTTGAGCTAAAGTGTTTTCCCTGACCACATCAGTTCTTGCCTACTATGTTTCAGGCTGTGCTCCAGAGTCTTAATGTCTTAAAAAGCTAGATATAGTGAGATTCTAATAGGCTCTCCTTCATCCCTTGAGTGCTTTGGGAATAACAATACAATGCCAACCAAAGCCCGTTGTTCCCACCATGTTTTATCAGAGTCCAGTGAAAATACATGAGAAGATGTTCCCAGCCAGAGACTACAAAGAGTAAAAAAGCGTGCTCTCCCCCTCTTCTGCAGATGCTACTGCTCAAGGGTGGGAGCAAAAGATGCCCTAAGCATAAAATCCTTCAGCACACATTGCTAAAGCCTGGCTGTCTCTGCTTTTTCAGGGTTGAGGTCAGCATGCAGCCCTCATATTCTAATTGCCTCTTTCCAACTCGCCAGGTTTGTCATGGGATTAGGGCTTGTCAGTTTTAGGGCTTTAAAGCCATTCTCTCAGAAGGCATGTGCCTCCAAGAAATAGAGAAACCGCTCCATTCGTCACAAAGCCTTCTGCCTGCTGGAGAGCTCCCATACTCAAAGCCTGGGCTCAAATAACCCCTTGGTTTAGCTCCATAAAACCTACCATCCGCGGAGCTTATAGGCCTCTGGGATGTCAGGATTCATGATGATAGTGCTTGAAGACAGCACAGAGAGGCTCCGTCCACCAAAATCAGAAACTCTGGCTCCTTTTATGGCCATCACAGGCTGTCTAGAACCATCAAATTTGTCAGCCTGTAAAACAAACACCAAACACACGCACATGTCGCTGGCAGGAAGAACACACAGACTATCTTTAGTGAAAACAAGGAAAACAGTCAATAGTAGAGTGAATGTGACCAATGTGTATCGAATCTATACAGACAACCTCATACGTAAGAATCCTGAGAAACACATCAAAACTAATCTATCAGTCCTTTCTTAAGAGTTAGAGGAAAGAGAACTTCACTACGGAAAGCTGAAATTACAGCACACCTCATAGAAGAAAAAGGACTTCAAATGATCTCTAAGAAAAAAAAAATTCACTAGACAGCACAACGCTTTATCACTTACGCAGCCAAAGCCCCACAGGACAAGATAACCTACCCATGGAGCTCTTTGTGTTCACGTACTTACATCTTCTCCCCACAGAGTAGCAGTCACCACTTTCCCTGACGTGTCCATCAAATAGATATTTCTCTTAGCGACTTCTCTGTTGTTAGACTTCACTATGATTTTAGTGGCATCTTCATAGTTCTTGCAGATCCCAATTATGTCTAAAACACAGGGACAAGGTCTTAGCAGAAAAGGTCAAGTGTTCTCGTATAACATGGCCAAAGGCTGAAGGTCAAGCACACAAGTTTTACACCCACTATACGCTGCAAATCATCACCATTCTTTGTCCTCAAATCTGGACTTACCTACAAGTGAGTCTTTAGACTTGTTCTCCAGATCACCAATTCCTACGAAATCAAACTGAACTGTAGGTAAATGATGATCATCTTCACAGGGCACCACAGAAGTCTCACTATTGAAGGTCATCTCATAGTCGTTTTTAACAGCAGAGAACTGTTTGTTAGCAACCTTCAGGGTGCCTTTTGTGAAATAATATACCTGCAAAAGAAACCAAGCCACACAATGCAAGACAGCCCAACAAATCAGACATAATCCTCCAATGGACAGGAGTCTACTCATCCTTGCTCCACCATCCAACTCAACTGTGTCAGTTCTAAACTGGTATTATTGTACCTTGTTCACTTCAATGAGGGGGAAGAACTTGTCCACTTGATCATTGAAAGCAGTAGCTCTGATTTCGCCCTGCAGAAGCAAGTGAAAGCAGGTTAGATTTATGATATTCAAAGTCAGTTTCAGTAGGAAGAAGTTCGATAATTTCCCAAATAGGCTGGGGATAGTGGTATATGTCTGTAATCCCAGGACTCAGGAGGCCGAGGCAGGAGGACTGCTGTGAGTTCGAGAACAGCCTGGGATACATAATGAGTACAAGGCCAGGCTGAATTACATAGTGAGACTCTGTCTCAAAAAACCAAACCAAACCAAAATAAAAAATCACCCAAAAAACCCTCCCCAAATTACCTATTCCACTGTTTCAAAAAATCTTAATATATATGCTAATATGTTTCATTTATACTACTAGTTTCTCTTAGCTCACTGAAAAGAAAGTTTTGCATTATTATCCGTTTCTTCTTTATTAAGAGAAACTTTTTTGTCTATGTCCTATTCTAAGCAACTACTTGAAGATAATGAAAGAGTATTAACTATTGTTATTCTCTTATTTTGTTATGAAATTGTTTTATTTTTTCATAAAATAAAAAAATCACTTAAAAAAGAAGCTAAATTCTACAAACAAAAAAACAAAAGAAAGAAAGCGAGCACCCCCCTCAAACAAAAAACAAAACAAAGCAAAATCAATTTGGCCAGTGAAAAGCGGGCCACTTTGGCATCAAGATGACACCTTGGAGCAGCAGGACAAGCACAAAGGTGACCCATGAGAGGGCTGCAGCCGCCGCAAGAAGCCACATCTTATAGTCATATATTCAAGCTAGATGAAATACCAGCTTCAACTAGCTGATCCTGTATATAAACCCTAACTTAGAAATTTAAAACAAAATGACATTTAATACTCTGACAATAAAAACAAAAATATTTTAGACACTGAGCGACACGACTGCAGCCCACGGGGAAGTGTGCTGAATCAGGGTGATTCACCGGTCTCCCTCATGCTTGCAACCTAAACAACAGATCACTCCACAGTCAGGCGCCACTGCCAAAAATGGTATCGCAAGTCATGTTTCAAGCTGCTTATGGCTTGATGATCACGTTTACTTTTCTGTCAGTCAAACTGTTCTAGAAGGATGAGAATCTTAAATTGTTGAAATCTTAGCCAACTTCACATTAGACCAAAAATTTTCAGAGAACTTCATTGATACTGACTCTGCTATGAGTTAGTCAAACATGCAGATGTCACACCATCTTCCAGGAAAAAAAAAAAAAAGAAAAACAAGAAAGGATTTCCCTCTACCCTCTTAGAGATCTGAACAAGTAAGAAACATGCAGCAACTTGAAAAGAACGTCTGAAGTACATTTAGGAATTACAAACAAAACTTACAAACAGGTAAAGCTATCAAGATTCCACAGCTTGGAGATTTTTTGGTCCCACCATAGGGTTCTGCTTTGTTTAAGTAAAGTCTATGGAGTCTGTGTGGTCAGGTCCCACTGCCCAACAGCCATTCACTGTGAAACTGGCTGTCACTCGTCCTCTGCTGGGGCCCCAAGTTCCACCCTGTCCATCAGCAGACATCACATCCTGGGCCATGGTGCCTCCAACAAGTCAAACACAATGTCTCCAGCTTTTCTCACTGTGAGGCTACTTATAGACTCAGAAAACTAGTTCCTAATTTCTGCTACAAATTCTTTAAGACCAAGGATTTTATGAATGACTTTTAGCCCTCTACCACAGAGGGGATCAAAGAGGGAAAGCCACGAGGACAGCCACCATGCTCTTCTCTGGCCTGCCACACAGGCCTACAACATGAGCCCTGTTTACAGTGTCCCACTTCAACCTCCCACGTGTTATGTACTCACACTTTCATCCACGAGTTCTAGAGAGAAAAGCTTCCCTTCCCCTCGAGAATTGCTCCAGGTACGGATCTGACTTTTGTTGGTAACTCGAGCACAAATAGTCCACCTAAAAAACAAATCGGTTACATTACCGTTTGGTGTCTTATTTGGACTAAAGATCAAGTAAGAAATCATCTTTCTATGGCCTTTCTTACCTTATACATATTCCATTTGTCAACACTAGCTGTATTTTAATCCAGCTAATTAAAACTCTAAGATGACACACAAGCTTGACGATTTACAGGATAAGCAAATAGTCAAAAACATACAAGGTGGCTTAACACTAACTCGTTCTCCTGTCAAGTAAGTAAATTTATAAACTCTCCCTTCTCCAAAATCCATCACCAAGGCAACAGTATCTCTTTAATGAAAGGTTCTAAGCTAAAAAATGTAGTAATACCAGCAATTATATTTTGTCAGTATTTTCAGCTACAGGAACTGATGTAACTGGTAGTGTTATGTTTGGATCTGAAATATTCCCCAGAGCTCAGTGTGGTGGTGCGTGTCTGTAATCGCAGCATCCTGGAAGGTGAGGCAGGAGGACTATCAAGTTAAGCCCAACCTGGAAAACTCAGCGAGACCCTGTCTTAAAAAATAGAAAGAACTGGGGATGTAGTTTAGTGATGGCCCAGTGTTCAATCCCCTACACAACAAACCAACCTCCCCACAGGTTCACACATTCAGAGGTGGGGCTTCTCACTGGTGACTGGCTCATGAGGGCTCTGACTTCATCAGTGAATTAACCCATTTATGGGCTCATAATTTGATGGCATTATTAAGAGGCATGGAAACTAAGGAGGCAGGACTGAGTTGGAGGGAGGGAGTGGTGGGGATCTGACCTGAGGGGCTGTATCCTGTCCGCAGCCCCTTCCTCTCTGGTTCTAACTCTGTGTTTCTGGGCTGCCATGAGGCGAGCAGCTTTGCTCAACCGTATCTTCCACACAGAGCCACTGAACATGGACTCAAGCTTTGGAAACTGTGAGCCAAAATAAACTTTCTGTTCCCTTCAATTGTCCTTCTCAGGTATGCTGTCACAGCAACAGAAAGCTGGCTAACACAGGTGTCAAATTCTTGTCTCATTTCTAATGCATGCTGAGTATAAACACAAGGCTACCAAATTAGTGTTCCTAGGCCACTAAAGAAAAACACACTGAAGCAGTGTGACCTTAGACACAGGACACTGCAAAAGAAGGCGTGAGGTCAAAGACCCAGGCCTGGTGCCCACTGTGAATAGAGGTATCGGGCATACACACACCTTACCATACTTGTAATTTCAGAGGGGATAAAGTCTCCCCTATATCACCAAGTATTGAGGAATAAATAAAAAACTATCTGAAAGAATTCTGAAAAAAGAACCCTAATTCTCAACACTTAAATTAATTTTTAATGGGAAAAAAGTCATACAAGATATATATGTTCAGTGAATATTAATGCAGTTAATATAAATAGTACAGATTATCTTAGCCAAAGTAAATCACAGTAATAATTTTTTTAGACCAAAAGTCACCTATTTATAAGATGAAATGCCTTCTGCATTAATACAAATATTTATTTTTATTCACAAGCACAGTAACTGAACCTTTTTTTTCCTTTTCTTTGTTTTTGAGACCAGATCTCGCTATGCAGTTGAGGTTTACCGTGAACTCACTATGTAGCTGAGGCTTGCCTTGAACTCACAGCAATCCTCCTGCCTCAGCCTCCCAAGTACTGGGATTACAGGCATGCACCACCATGCTAGTAACTAAAACTTTAAGTAGTAAATATTCTTAATTTTAAATTCTTTGAAAATAGTAGAACTCCACAATGGCAGTCTGCTATTTTTGTCATTCTTTTTGGTAAGAGTTAAAGACTGCTGCAGTTTGTACCCTCCTCCACCTCAGGAAAAAAAAAAGAAAGAAAACCCATTTACATGGTGGTGCACAAGCCACACAGAGCCCACAATAACTTCTTACACCACTTTCTAAGTACGTTCTGCTCTTGCCCTACGCAACAACTCACTTGGACTGGTACGGCGTGAGGCTGACGATGGGCACCACTTTGGACTGTGTTCCCCCAGAAGGGTGCAACAGGCCTGGCCCTCCAGGTTTTCCAAATGTCTTTGAGGCACCATAAGCCTTGGGTACAGAGGAACCTTTACAAACACATACACACAAAAGGACAATCATTATTCTACTTAACTTTTATAATAAGTTTAACAGTAACTCTTATCACTGATGTGCCACCAGTGAAATCATACAAAATCAGAAGCGAAGTTTTTCCTTTTTATTCTCCAAGAAATATGCAGATACAGACTGAAGCAGGAGGCCAGGAAAGCAGTCTAGAAGGAAGTCTGGGTACACTGGAGTTCCTCACTTTATCTGCTGACGTAAGCCCTGAGGTTGATAATGACAGAAACAAATCTACACGCACCTTTTTCTGAGGTCCACCCTCTGAAACGTCTCTTAAATTGTTGGGCAAGACAATGTGTCAAGAAAGAAAACCAACTTTCTTACCCAAGAAAACTGATGGCAAGTTGTTAGTCTCATCAGTTACCTGCTTGTCATGCACAAGGGCCTGGGTTTGATCCCCAGCATCAAAGAAAAAAAGAAAAAAGGCCAGGATATAATGGACCTGCAGGACAGACACTGGTGGTGAAGGACAACTATCACCGATATCACCTCAAAACACTACCACAGGATGGAAAGTCTGCAAAGTGATGTTTAGTTGGGGGCACAGGGTGAGAATCGAGTTTTAGTCAAGACATGGTGGCAGGGTAGCCACTATGATGCTCTGCCTCCTTTACCCAAGGATGTGCCCTGCCCACCACAGGGAAAGGATGGGGCACTGAAGCCTATTAGCAGAAGAGTTCCTTTATCCATATACTGTGGCTATAAAGCCTCAACCTCCAATTTAGAAAACCTAATTTAGCTCCATGATTTTGTACACACTATACAAAAACATGACCTCAGGATAGAATTTGACCAAAAATATAAACCCACCATTTGCTGAGTTTTTATGCATGCACCACACTACTCCAAGTAGTACAGCAGTGAGGATAGAATACACAATTTTAATAGACACATGCGGCATCCATTCTTCCAGTGTATTTGTGTGTGTGTTTTCACTGTGTGGCTCAGGCTGGCCTCGAACACACGATCCTCCTGGTGTAGTTTCCTGAGTGTTGGGATTACCGGCATGCACCCCTGTGCCCGGCCTTCACCCATTTTTTTGGTGCCAGGTAGCCATCCCTCGTTACATATCTAGTCCATTTTCTTTCACAACCCAGCTTTGGGATCGTTAATCATTAAAAATAAATTTCAATATACTGTAAAGCACAGATAGACAAATGGAAAGGTAAATTTGTGAAGGGAGAGGAAAGAATAAATAATGTACTACTTGTATTTCAGCTTCTAAGAAACATGCTTTTAGATTACTCAGCATTTCTGATAATCTATTCCACTACCCCCTTCAGTACGATAAATTTGAGAGCTGTGTATACAATGACCCAGCCATAAAGGAAGACAAATAGATGACAGATTGAAGATTTTTGTTTAGTTTAGTTTTGTTTTGAAACAAAGTCTCACTATATAGTTCAGGCTGATTTTAAACTCACTATGTAGCCCAGGCTGGCCTCAAATTGGAGGTGATCCCCTGTCTTAGCCTCCCAAGTGCTGGGATTACTGGCATGCACTACCATGTTGGGCAGATTCACAGATCTTACTAGATAAAAACAGCAAAGACCAATGGGGAAAAGTCTTACGTCTTCAAAGTTTCACAGAAACATTAGTGACGTCTTAACCTGCTTTTCTTAGAACTGCATTAAAAAATAGAAAGTAATCATTGGAAGAAAAAGAGGCGAATGTGATGTTGTGACAGAGAAAACAGACCTCTAAAAATACATCAAACCACATTGTACAAATTATAATTTCTGGTGGTAACTTCCCAGATCAAGAGTTACCTAAAACAAAGGCCTGAGAGTAAACAAAATGATTCCATCAGGGCCTTTTAAGACCTGCTGCAGAGAAAGCTGAAAGAAGAAACTACTTCTCATCCATGACACTGAGAAGCAGAACCTATGACCAATGTAAATGATTCTGTCTTCAAGCAAATGAAATATGCCCACGAGAGTCTGAAATGGGAAAACTGGAGACAGACAAACAAAACTTAGTAAGTGGATCCTAGATAGTTGAAAGGCGAGAATTTAAAAGGCATGCAAATTCACAGAAAGGCAGAGGGTGCAAAACACAAAGATGTAAGAAACTATAGGACTAGATAAGCTATTAACTGAGAAAAGCATGATCACTCTGATTTTAAAAGGGTATATTATTGAGTATCTTTAAAAGACTATCACTAGGCGTAGTGGTGGACGCCTACAATCCCATACTTGGGAGGCTATGACAGGAACATTGCTGGAATTCAAGGTCAGCCTGGACTACACAGTGAGTTCAAGGCCTGCTTGCACTAACTAGAGAGAGCCTGTCTCAGAGAAACGAAACACAGTACAACAAAAGACTATTATTATTCTTTGTAGAACAACTCTTGTCATGTATAGCATTATGAAAGCTCCCTTTAGTCCCAGATGAAATTGAAAGCATTATTCGAATCCTAACACACACAACCGACACCTTACCCACTCCCGAGCTCCCATTCTGTTGCTGGGGCCTGACGGTCGATGGACTGGCTGCTGTGACTGGAGAAGGAAGTGCTTGCGGCTGCCCCTGTCCTGAAGATCAAAAGGGAAAGGCTGTTTTAATGCACATAATTGGAGTGAAAAGATTTGAACTTAAGTGGAAGAAATACTCTGCGAAAATGTAAATTTTCTATTTCTTGCAGATCAGAATTCACAATGGGGCATTGGATTGCATGCAGTGAGTTTTCCAAGGATTCGTTTTTTGTTTTCATGATAGAAAAGGTTGGTTCCATTTATCTTTCACCTCCTTATAATTGATAGCTTTCAGGTTTAATGAGGTTTTCCCCTAAAGCCTGGCCCATTTCTCCTGTAAGAACCTGCACTAAAGTCACTGGGCTGAATCTGTGACACTACCACTATTTCCATAGCAACAAATCGATGTCATCAACAGAACTGTGTGTTCATGGCAGGATTTATCAGAAGAAAAGGCTGGGTGGCAAGGAAAATCTAAAAGCAGTTCAATTGTCTCTCAAGTGCTCCTACTTCAAAGGAAAAGGAGACATTCAGAAAGGATTCTACCCTTTCCCTCCCAAACAAAGCAACCTTATTTTCCAACTGACAGTTGGCGGAAAATAAAAGTTGAAAGAGTCTTAGGTATCATGAAGTGCTAGTGAACTGTCACAGCAGGGAGAGACACGAATGGAGTTCAGAAGCAGTTGTGTCAAGGAAACAGAAGATTAAAAGGAGAAGAGAGGAAATGCACATGTCTCTCAGGCAGAAAATAAAAAACGCTAAGCTATACCATCAGGGTATTTATTTGCCCCCTCGCCCTTTATACAAATGTTTATGAAGCTGAAGCATGTTGAAGTGTAAACACACCCCACATTTTAAAATAACAGATTTAGCAAATGTGATCTTGTCTTTGTTACTGGCTCTCAAGGCAGAAGTCAAACTCATCTGGGCTGCTCTTCAGGAGTACTTGAAGCCTACAAGGGCAGCTCAAAAGAACATCACAGAGTACCTGAAACAAAAGCCACGAGCAGAGGTCGGGCCAGGCTGCCTCTGCCTTCTCCAGCTGCCAAGTGCAAGCTCCTGCTGGGCTTCTCAAGTCCTACCCCAAAGAGCCAAGCCACGCCCTGATTTAATTTACTTCTCCGATTATTACTCTTAAGTGGCACTGCTAAAGGAGACCATGCCATCAGAGTCAAATAAACTCTGCATAAAATTTGAAAGGTTGAATGCAATCGTTTATCCTTTTGTTTCTCCAATGGAGAGAAAAACCGAAGACCTCATTTTGCATCGATGAGCAGTCTGGATTACTGACACTGAAATTTTTGTGTTTACTTTTTAGCTTTTCCATTATCTCTGAATTTACAAAGTGTCACAAGCAGCTCATGGGAGAACGGTTCTGACAATGTGTCTTGTGAAGAGCAGTTTACATTCTTAAGCGAATCTTTTTAAAAATCAGCAGGGAAAAGATGAATTGCTCAGTAAACAGTATTGAAGCAAGAGGATGGAAAAAAGAAAACTGCCTTTACCCGCTTTATAAAATATATTCAAAAGAACAAGCAAGATTTAGAAATTCAAAAATTAAGTCGTAAAACATACAAAACCCTGTTATCTTCCACACCAGCACCAGCACCTCACTCTCTTCTATGGCCTCAAAAACTGCTAAACTAGAAAGGCCCCCTCTGAGGGTCACCCCCGCTGCTTCCCACGCGTGGCTGAACAGGATAACTAACGGTCCCTGGAGCTCGCTGATCACACACTTTCAATGTCTATAAAAACCTAAGTGGCCCCCGGGAGGAGTCTGAATGGTGAAATCCCTGGAGACGGAATAAGAAGAATGGCCACCAGGGGTGGGCGGGAGCGGGAATGGGAGGGGTGGCTCGGGAAGGGGAACAGCTCCGGGGCTGCACGGCCGTGATGGGGTTGGCAGTGCCCCAAGTTTTAAAAGTGTAACTTACTTACTCTACCTATCCTGAAATGTACATTTCCCCCCTATTTTAATGTGTAAGTTAACATACTATAATTTTTAGTAGTGTATAAAATAATGTATATCTTGTCATTCCTGGATTTTTATAGTCAACTTAGTACAACATATCTACTGAGTCTCCAATTAATACTAGCTAGCATTTTCTGAGTATTTATGATGTACCAAGCACAGGGTTAGGTGCATTGTTCCAATAACTGTCAGCACCATGATGTAGAGAGTATCAGTATACTCTTAAATAGATAAGAAAACCAGATCAGAGAGGCCAAGTAAGTTGCTCAAAATCACACAGCTGGGAGTGGGACCCTAGTCCAGATTTGTCTAATTAGATCCATGCACTTCACCATTATCTAGTTTTTAATTGTAAACAATCAATCTTGGCAGCAATAACTCTAATTATATAGAGCATACCTAATAACCATAATATCTGGTAATAAGGAAAAGCTACTAATCCATGTAATAGAGCAATCCTTAACTCCTGATTTGGACCACATCTGCAAACCTGGCACAAGAGACAAGAGACAGCCCTGAGTCAAATGGGAGGCAAGAACCCTGGCGCATCTAAACAGCAGTAACTGCCCTTTAATTAATGTGTTGCAACACAGCAGCTGCCCAAAAGACCTGAAATACATCAGTCTATAGTGAAAGGAAACTCTTCTGAAAAATTAAAATTAGACTGTAAAGCAGTAATGCAGAGACTGATGATCTGTTCTGTACCACTTGCAAATCAAACCATTCCAAGAAGATGGATCAACATCATAATTCACAGATTCTTTGCCTTGTGCTGGCTTCATATCACCAAAAACCCACTCAACTCCTACCAGCAGTACTTTCTTAACTGTGAAGAATATATAGAAAAATCATTACAATATTTACAATTTCCTGTTGACAGAACATGGACAGTATCAGACTGAAAAGAATTCTAACAATTAACAAGTAATACCAAGTATTGTATTGTGAAATATATTTAAGTCTAAGTAAAATACTTGTAACAACAGTACATGTACAGAGAACTTACACACACATACACACACACAAATGTAGTGGAATGATATTTAATTAGTCATTCAATTAAGAATTATATGAGCATGAATTATCTCTGAGTGAAGTTCTATTTCCCACACTTTACAAATTCCATATCTTTACTTAACACGGTAGTAGTACTATACTGCACATAGGAAATTTTGCATTCTAATACAGTACACATTTTAGAATTCCTGCCCCTTTCTGAGCTGGACTAAGTCGACTAGTTTTACCAGTCACCTGTTACGTCTCAAGGTCTGGATTAGGTAAGGGGAGGATAGGAAGCTGACTTTAGTTTCCTGCCTACTAACACCAGAGCTGCCTTACTTTCACAATAGAGAATTAGAAACCATTGCAATGAAATACACTGTGAAGCAGTAGACACTGTAACAAAGATATTTAGACCCTGGCCCAAATAACAATGTGCTATTGATCTGGCAATAATGAAATTCATCAGTAAATAATCTTGAATGGCAAAATCTTTTCTCATCCCTCTGTACCCTGGAGAGAAAGGCCAGTAAAACTGAGAGAAAGGAGTTTTTCCTGTATCTCTATAGAGTTCTGACCCCAAGCAATAATTATCTTCCAACCCTCTCATCTCCATTTTTATCACAAACACTTTTTTCCTGAAATACAAGATGTCCAAAACAGCCATTCAATTAAATACAACATAAAAAAATTAGACTTGTGGTCCACAGTGATAAAGGTGGTCACAAGCACTGCTCCTCTGCATCTACTGCACCCAAGGATTTTTTTGGGGGTACCGGGAATCAAACTCAGGACCTTGCTCTTGCCAGGCAGGAGCTATGCCACTGAGCTATATCCCCGGCCCACAAGGATTTGAGAGATGCTAACAAATGCTACGTCTTAACACTCCTAAAGGATGGGAATATAATAACCAACACGCACATCTTTAAACTTTCCTACTGCAAAATAAATACGATGCTCTAGTTTACTAATGCAGAACTTTATTTGGTAGGCTATAGTTTTCCCTCTCTAACTTAAATCATCAAGTTAGTACAATTTAATTTTATCTAAAAGGTTCTGGAAAGGGCATGATGATGGCGTAATCCCAAATCTTCCATTTCTAAAATCATACAGGGCTGGATGCAGTGGCACACCAGTAATCCCAGCACTCAGAAGGCTGAGACAGGAGAAGCAACAAGAGTCTGAGGTCAGCCTGGGCTACACTGTGAGTTCAAGGCCAACATGAACTACATAGTGAGACCCTGTCTCAAAAAAAAAAAACATATAGAGCAACAAGAATGCATACTCACCCCCAAATCCATGCATGAGTATAAACATGCACACATATATACATATATATATACATATCCCACATAAAAACTACACCTTTAATTTAATGAAACTAGGGAACAGAGAAAACCTACAAATCCCAAATTTTGTGAACGTGAAGTCAAAAACAGCACAGTCAAGAAATCACAACAATAAAACTTAAATATGAAAAATGAAACTGCAATTACTAGGATACATGGGTGGACACTGTGGAGCAATGAAGACTTTTCTAGCTATACCTCAAAATCCTGAAGTCAATCATATAAAAGCTTAAAATCTGTGGCATAAGAAAACAAAAATACCAGCTGGGCATGGTGGCACACGCCTGTAATCCCAGCACTCGGGAGGCTGAGGCAGGAGGATCGTTTGCGAATTTGAGATCAGCCTGGGCTACAAAGTGAGCTCAAGGCCAGCCTGAACTGTATAGTGGAGACCCTGTCTCAAAAAGACAAAAAAAAAAAAAAGTCAAAACAAAACAAAAATACTATCAGTGTGTCAAAAAGACTTTAATTCATATCAGAAACAAAGGACTAATCTCACTACTTTTAAGGAACTCTTAGAAACGAAGGAAAAGAGACAATCCAAAAGAAAAACAAACAATACAAGAATAGTCACTCCACAGACACCAAAACCGAAACCAAAAGGAGTCTGTTATGGTTTGTGTCTAGGCGACCCCCCACTTTCAAAGTCTCATGCGGTCACAGTGTTTTAGCAGAGGCAGCTGAATCTAGAGTGTGTGACTGATTCATAGTGCAGTGCTGGGGTTAAGTGTGCTGGGATT